GAGGTTACCAATAAATCCATTTATTCGTCAAGCAAAGTGGATTTTAATCTTTCTTTTAAAGATGCCCTGTTAATTTAACAAATTATTAAACGTGATTATCATTTTCTTATTTGCCAAAAAATTAAATAGTCGAAAATTTTGATTAATTAACTTAAAAGCAATACAATTAAACTTATTTAGCATTCAAATTCTCATACGATTACATTCATTCTCATAAATATTTCCCCATTTTTTGATCTGATTAAAATTATTCATTTTACAATCACTTCCCTACACATCTTTTCCTTCATAGTATAATGTAGCAATTTCAATCCCTCTTTCGAAAACCTCAACATTGTTTCTAACTCTCTTCTTTCCAGTGATAAATGCATTCTCTCTCATTGTTTCTCATAGTTTGCTGGAAGAAGATTAGTACCATCACGAGAATTAGATCACTGATGAGATTAACTATAGTTCAAGCTGAATTTTGGCGATCACAGAGAACTTAAAAAATTAATCCTTTCATGGCTAATAATTGACTTTATTTACATACTTTGCTTCATTGGAATTGATCCTAAAGATAAAAAAAAATTAAGAAATATAGATTTATATTGTTGGAAATGTTATTTGATAAGTAAAATGCCAACTATGTAACATTTAATTATAGATAGCCTCGAATTTGATTTATCTACCCATCAGCTGAATAGAAAATTCTATAGATCAATGTATTGGTTAGCTATGAATTAAGATAATCACCAATAATTAAACGGTTGAGTGAGTAATTAAAATTAATTAACGACAAATTTGTCACTTATCCAATTATTTAGGCAAATATCCAATATCATTTCGATGATATTTATTTAATCATCAATGAATAATTATCATCTGATTTGTAAAGAATGAATTATTTTATAATGCAATAAAATTGAGACCGATTAGTTTAGAGTAATTAGTCAAGCAAACTAATTAGTTGACCATGCTGATTATTTGTTCATCTAATTTCATTTTATTAAAAAATATTAATAAATTATGGTAATGTTTGGAGCCACGACACTAAATGTTTGTCAGTTTTTAACTTTTCCAGTTTCTTCCGTAGCACGTTGCTTTATATTAGATTGCTCTGCGCCTCCTCCGATAGTTGTTCCATCCTGTAATTTATGATTTTCTTAAAATCTTGACCAATAAATCAATGAAAATAGAAAATAATACTACCTATTATAAATTTTATTGATTGTTGCTCAAATAATAACTTCTGAAATTCTATTTATCTTCTCAAGTTGCTTATTTACTAGCGAAAAATTTAATTCAAAAATTTACGCAGCACTTGAAGCTTTTTAAAGTGGTCAATTATTATTAAATTTATTCCGATACGCAGGTTTGTTTTTTTTTTTTGCCCATATCAAGAAAAAGAACGCTATATTTTTATAAAAACTAGGAAAATTTTTAGGAGAGAACAGAAAATAAAAATAAAACGGAACGTTACTGTAAAATGGAAACTTTCAAATCAGTAAAAAAAAAGTTACAAAATATTTTTATTCTTTTATTTCTTTTTTACAAATTCTATGAGAGTTTTTACAAATGAAAAAACATTTAAAATTATTTAATAAGATTGAACTCATAATATATAATTTATCCTATTATTCATGATATGATTAGAAGTGATAGGAAAAAGTTTTGGGAAAGATTGCCCGTAAAACGTCCATTCCACTGATAGTTCCTTTATTTTGAAACCGAAAATTTGTTTTCACATATTTTATTCATTTGAATACCACATACTACCATATAATGAAGAGTAAATTTTCATATAATAATAATTATATTTTATTGATTTTTGAAAAATGATTAAAAAATGATGATTTTATCGTAAGCAGTCATATTTAAACTTGATGATATCTGTCATTATTTAATGCTAAAAAATTAAATTACCTGAAAACTAGTTTTTTCTGTTGCCAAAATTGTATTGTTCATTGTACAGGTTGTAGTATCTTCCATTTCTAAAACTTTCAATTCTTTTCATAACGATCAAATAAAAGATAATTCTTAGAGCAAAAAAAAAAATTAAATGAGATATTGTAGGACAAATTTTATTATTAGTGAATCAATAAATTTTTATAGATCAAATTTCTTTAAAATCTTAAACTCTTAAACTTAAAATCTTAAACTCATTCAAATGTGCAAATCGAATTATATTACCAGTCGTATATAAATCACTTTTGTATTCATCGCATTCATTTTTAGCATTATCAGTGCTTTGTGCTTTTTTCCTTTCTAAATGTTAATTATCTTAAATATTCAATATCTGCTTAAAAATTGTGAAAATATAACGATTAAGTTCAGTTATGAGAATAGGATAATTTAAATCAACATAGTTTTTAAAAGTTAAAAAAATGGATAGAAATAATAGAAAAAGCAAGCAATATTAACTAATTTTATTGCTTGCTTTTCAAAAAAATCAGTAATACTAAATGGACGATATGATAATTTATATCGATAAATCATTACCTCTTTTTTTATTTGAACACTGCATGAATGGAAAGATAATTATTACTATAGCTGATAAAATGTACAAAATTGTTTTCACAACAAAAGTTGATAAGCTGATAAGCATAGCTTTTTTTATTTTTTAATGCTAGTCGTTTTTTGACGTCTGAAATATTAAGCAAGAATATCTTCCTTTTGTGATAGTGAATTATTTTTCTACTGAAATCAAATTACATATTGAATACTTTGAGCATTATCAATATGCTTCTCTTTACAAATAATTTGTGCAACTTTTAGCGTGCTTACCCGTATATTCGGCAATTCTCGTGATAAAAATCTGTAAGCATATTTGTGAATGATTTGTGTACCATATGTATTTGTGTTTTTATATTGATAATAAATTATGTAAGTGTTTATTTGAAGCTAAATTAAAAAAATTTGCAAGATTTAAAAGTTTTTTCAATTTTTTTTTCTGAAATAATCATGAGCTATAAGAGCGATGTCAAACGAAATGCAAAGAAATCTCGAAGATGAGTTATGTGCAAAGCAGATTACTCTGGTTCTAAAAAAATCAATACCGCTATTTGTCAACATTGATAAATATCAGTCAAACGTATGATTTTGGTATTGCACGAAAATTACATGTTGTATTCTCGAAAATTCACTATGAAGACACAATAAAATTTTTATCATAAAACTCGTGCAAGATTAATTTTATGAAGATTGATTTTTGAAATTAAAGAGGAAAAGTTGAGAATGATTTTTGATTTTTTGAAACAAAAAAAAGAATATATAAAACCATTTGAAATTAAAGAAAAAATATATAAAATCATTTGAAATTAAAAAAAAAAATATATAAAATTACAGATTGTTATTGGTGGAATTTCTGGAAGAAATGAAATAGGAATTCGCAGCAAGCAACTAAACTTGAAGCAAAATTATGAAAAGACGCATATTATTATTATTAAAGGCTTTTATACGTATTGAAGGTTTACTTTTATGATAATTTTTTTAATGTCAATTTATGAATGCCCACTTTAAGCTCATTTTTTTTAAAGTAGAGTATATTTTTTTTTAAAAAAGCTTAACTGTTTTCAATTTTACTAACAAAGTGAACATGTAGAAGTTGCAGCTATTTGTGTGATAATGCTTTTCTAGCTCAAATTTCGGGACCACTTAATTTGATGGCCCTTCTTCTATTTTTTTTTCCACTTAACTATGCTACCAACTTCGCATGGATGAAAATGACAGTTTTTGATTAAAAATTGAGTTGAAAAAAATTGAGAAAAATAGTGGTCAAAATGTGAGATATTTTTGCTGAACTGCTTTCGAGAGAATTTTTTTTCAAAATAGAATATATTGATTTAACATGATACTTAAATATTAATGTTTCAATAATAAATAATTTAAGCATTATCCATTAAAGCAAATTATTTGGCAATATGTTTGCTTCATTTTATGTTTTGTCATTTTTAGCTTAAACAAAAATTAAGTGCAAAAATTATTGATCAAAAATAAACTTATTAATTGTATTATCAAAGTTCAGCAAAATCAATATTCATCATTTTTTTTTGGGGAAAAAAAAAGTATATATATTACCCAAATAACAAAATTTCAAATTTGTACAAAGAAATATATACGCGGATTAAAACTGCTACCGTATCCATGCTAATCCCTACTGTTTCGATATATTTTTTCGATATTTTTCAACTTTAGCAGAAATGTTTACTTGAAACATGCAATCATTATTATCTTTCATATTATCCCAAACAATATCACAAATATCATCATACTATCATGTCAATATAAGAAATTCGGTTGCTATCAATCAAAATTTCATGATATGAAAAATTGCTTCAAAATAAATTGAAATTTCGTAAGATGAATTTCCTTGTTGTATGAGAAATTGTTATTGCATTCATTTAGTTTGTAACAAAGCAAAATAAACTTTTTGAAAAAAAAAAAAGATTATACACATATATAAGCTGGCCAGAAATGAGTTCATGCTTACATGAATTATGAATTCAAGATATTTTCATTTGAAAGCCGTTTTATTTGGTAAAATTAGTTACCCTGATTTATATGCACTACAAAAATCATTATAGCAATGAGCGCTTTACCGCATAATATAAGCTACAGATGAAAGAAATGAAATAACAAAGAGTAAATGAGCACATTATGAAATGATGTTTTTTTTTTTTTTTTTAACTATATTTCAATCTTATCTTAAAATTAAAGTTTTCAATTTCAATTAATTAAATAACCATTTAGGCTATTACTAATTTAATGGTGAATATTTGCGCTTATTATCGTTGCATTTTGTTTCTCGTTTTCATTCATTGAAAGATGTTTCACTAACGGTACCATTACGATTGATAAGTGATGCTTCATTATGTTCATTGTTTACGTGCCTTTTTGGCCTCTTGCAAAATCCTTTTGCAAAATGAATCATTTCAGCACGAAGCGCTGGTTGACAACTTGCATAGATAGGCAACCGTAAAGCGCATGCTACAATGGTCAATAACGATACTGTATCAACACTGAAGATATAGAAGTCCAAAAAGCTGAAAATAAAAAGTTTAACAGTTTACGTTTAAAATTTTTAATTAATTCTTCAATTTTAAAATTAATCTCTCAACATATACAAATAATCCAAAACAAAATTTTAACTTGATGACTAATCAAAAATGTTATATTTTAGATGAATACTATGCAGAACAATATTCCTATTGAAATATGAACGATTAATACTGTAATACTAAATAGCGATTGTTAAGAAATTAGAATTTAATTTAGCAAGCATAAAATTATAAAATTCGAACTGAATTTTTAACTAAATTTTTGACTAAATTTTTTTCTTCTTTTTCAAATTTTAAAAGATTGCTTGAATATGATTTTTACCTGCTGAAAAGTGATGTTGCATCAGTATGTTCCCAAATTGTTATGATCACATTGAGCATATTTGCTAAAAGATAAGTGCACACAACAAGCATTAAAGTTCGTGTAGCTGCTCGAATTCGAGCCTGAAACATTTCCCGATATTACTAACAAAATTAAGGAAGGAATTGCAAAGTTGCATTTTATTTATTAAACTTTATTTGTGATAATCAAATTGATAATGTCGTCTCTCTCCCTTCACTCTCTATTAATTCAATTCTACTTTAACGATAACTAAAATATATCGGCTTGCTTTTAAACAAATTTAAAATTTATCATAAAAAAGTTGCCACATATTCATAGTGCAAAAACAATTATGTAATAGATAATTTTTAGAAATTAACACGATATGAATAATCATTGGAATATTTTTAAATGTTAATATGAATTTTATTTCATATCAATTTTTTTCTTTTTTTTTGAAATTTAAAATAAATTTAAAAATTTGAAAAAACTTTTTGTTCTTTAGCATTAGTGGCGCGTGTCGATTCCATATTGTGCTTTTCGGCAACAAAACTTTTCCTCAGCTCGTTGACAATTCGAGCATTCAGGAACATTAATGTAAAAAATGGGAATAGAATAGTGACAATATTGCGGAACCAAAAACGAAATAATTTGTAGTGCTCATTATGAATTACCAATGCTGTTATCTCTAATCGATATTCATTAAGCGTTCCAATACAGCTCAAATCATGAATTGGCTATAAATTTCACTGATACAAACAGATGAATTAATGAATAATCACTGATAAATTATGCTATAATATAATGTAATTTCAAGGCTTAAAGTTAGCGCATTCCATTAAATTGATTAAGATTAGCTGGAGAAAAAAAATGGTTAATATGGCTACGAAACTTCAAATCAATATTATTTACGAATTAAAGGTAAGAAATTTGAATTAGCAATAACCAGAAATAATGAAATAAATTTGGGATCATTAAAGAGCATAATGGATTGAAAAAAGAAAAAAATTGTTGTTCTGTCATAAAATTTGCAGTTAGAATCTCTAATCTATAATTGTTTTTCAAAGATATATTTTAATTATAAAGTAGTCTATTGAAATTGCATTGGAATATTTTTTCCTTTTTTTTTTCATTTATCAAAAATATATTTATCTTGAAATTGAAATTCACTTCAACCTTAAGTTCAAGTATTAATGTTCCCTTCGTAACTACACCAATTATTACAGCAATGAAAGCAATATAACAGCGATTATTTTGCAAAAATTCAACATGATGGCTTGAAGCTGTGATGCAAAATCTTTCTACAGTAGCGAAGACGATAAGAAAAGATGAGGCGGTTATGGCAACATGCGACATTGTCATCATCGGTACTACATATGCCATCCTGAAAAAAATTATTTTGTAATTTGTAAATTACTAATTCTCTCTCCTTCTCTTCTCTGAATGATGCTAAATTTTTGTATTTTCTAAGGATTCCAAAAAAAAAAAAAAAAAAAACGATTGATGACTTTCTTTCCTATATTCTTTTTTTTTCTATCAAAATTTTTTTAAAGTAAAAACTTACCAAATTTTTTTCATGAAAACCCATTCATTATACTGATAGAGTACTTTAACAGACATTATCAGTATATAAGTGAAACTAATGAATATATCAGTAAGTGCAAGAAGTAGCAAATATAGCGAATGACTGCGACGATGCTGTTTGCTGGTGATAAAAATCAAAAATAGGAAAACATTTTCAATAATACTGATAGTGCTAAGTGTTGAGCCAAGGATTGTAACAAGCCATAAACGTTCAATCAAATGATTCGTATCAATAACATAGCAACTTGGCTCAAGTGTTGTCAACCCTTTCATCACATCAGGAATTGTTGATGACCGAATAGTGATTGCTGTAACGCTTGTATCATTCCTGATTACACTACCATTGATTAATTCCATTGTTTGCTAGAAAATCTAATTTTAATTTGAAATTCAGCACAAAATTTAACTTAATGCTTTTTCTCTCATTCTTCTAAAATTCATCTTCAAAGATGAAATAACCATACAAAACATGGCAAAAAATTCCTACAAAATTTTAAAATATATATATGTATATATGTGATGAAAAATTTGTTGGATAAACAGGAATAGTTCATACTTTAATTAGATAAATTAATTAGTAGAAGTAACCCGATGTAATTCATCAAACGTGAAATATGATTTAGCATCGTAAAAGTATTTGCATTCTTTATTTAAGTTGATAGCCGATGATATTGACAAATATCGCTAAAGTTCCTTGCGTCGTGTTTATGCATAAATATTGATTGATCCGTAAAAAGGTACCTAAAAAATTTTGTTAACAAGTAAATTAAAAAAATGCGAGTAGAATGCTAATAAATAATTCGGAAATTTTTATATTTCAGAAATAAACTTATAAGAAATAATAAATTTCTGTGAATATTTTACAATATTGACTGATCTATCGAAGTCTTCTAAAGAAGAATTATCATTTCAGTAATCTAATTGCTTATTTCAATTAAATAAATTTATTGGCGAGATTTACAAGATATCGTAGTGAAGAAAAAAGAATTAGTAGGAATTAAATTATCTGACAATAATTGATAGCTGAATTTCTTCTTGTATGCAATATATGTTATCTGAAGAAAGTAAGTAAAATTATGGCTGTAAAAGAGATGATAGGCTAATTGTATTGATTGATTATCAATTTCATGAAGAATATCTGAGTGATTACGTGAAATTAAACACCATTTTGGAGTTAATAAAATCCGTACTGAAATTGTGCAATATTTTAAACTATGATCATTTCTCATTTCTCCATTTTAAGAATAGGTAACTGTCGCATTGAATCAAATATTTTATTGCCAAATGTCAAGTTTAATTTCTTTACAAAATTAATTAACATTTTATTATGCATTCATATTTTTGAATTAAAATATCAGCAAAAACTGGATCAAATTTAATTTTCCTCTTAATTAGCAAAATATATGCTTACAATTTAAAAATCTCTGTCAACTTCATTTTTGACAAACGTTAAAAAGTTAAAAAAAGAGAAGTAAATTGTGTCAAATTCCCGTATGGATAACAACATAAATAAAAGGGAAAGAAAAGGAAAGGAAAAATTGAATAGCGAAGAGGAAATTTCTATTTGAAAATCAACTAATTTGGCCAAAATGAAAATACTTCCGTCATTTTTTCGCCTTTTCGCAATACATGAATAGTCTAAAGTGTAAATTTTTTTTTTTGATTTTTGCACCTCAAAAATATAACATATATTCTGAAATCGAGTAATCAATTAGAATTAAAAAGAATACAAATGATAACTGTAAAATTTGAATAAAAGCTCATTCGTCATTTCGTTGATTTGATCAGATATTTTCAGTGAATGCATCGTAAATAAAAGAATTGATAAAATTTGTCCTTTTTGTCTATTCATCTCGTACATTCTTCGCAAATACATCCCGTGGCTTTACTTTGTCTTACACTTAATCCATAATTTTCTTTTAGCAAATGATAAATTGTTTTTAAATAATTTTGTAAATTCAAATTACAATTCAAAAATTTATCGCTTCTTAATTTTTCCTTGGTAATAATAAACTGTTTCTGAAAAATTTTTAAATTCAAAAATTTAGCACTAATATTTTTTGTTTATATTTTTTTTTTCTATGTTTAAGAGAATTATATGAGTTTTTGATCTGGAATTTCAAATATTTTAATATTAGACATTATTAGAAAAATCACTGCTGACAATTTTTCACACCGAATCACTTAAACTGATTCTTTTTTTTAAAAAAATCACATTTGTTAAGTATATATTGATATTTCTTATTGCTTGCTTACTTATTATTCTAATTAGTAGCAATGCTCATAGAATGGAGCAACTTTCCTGCTAATTTTTACTCTCATATTTATTTATATAACTAACTCAATTATTTATTTACAACTTTTCACTGTTTTAAAAAATGCTATTAAATACATCATGCTGTATGCATTTATCAAATTTTTCTTGAAAACTATTACACGTTCATCAATTGCAAAAAATTTCAAAATATTTGAAGTTTAAAATTAAGGGGAAAAAAGTTATGCAAGAGAAGGCAATTAGATAATAGAAGCGTGTATTCTAGGATGGGTCAGAATTAATTCTAAATTTTTTGAGACTTCCGCAAACGTTTAATTAGATATTTTTATGCTAACATTATTCTTTTCAATTTCTAAAAAAAGAGAAAAAAAGAGAATAATCTCACATTTTACAATTTCAAGTATGTTTAAAAAAAATGCTAATCTTTGTTATTTCTTCTTCTTTTCGCTCTCTCTCTCTCTCTCTCTCTCTCTCTCTCTTTGCTTTTGTTTATTTTTCAGTCCATTTTCTTTTCTAAAACATCAAAAAAAAAGCGCAATATTGAATTGAAGGATTTCAATTTTAATTTTTTCGTTTTTTTTTTCACTTTCATAAAAGCCAAAATTACTCGATGTATGCATATGCATCAAATTTCAGGCAATTATTCTAACAAAACTAAAAATAAACAAATTGCTAGAAGAAAATTGAAAAAGAAAAACTTCCACTTAATGTTGCTATGATCAGAATGAAAAAAAAGGAGGAGAGAGAGAGAAGTTAAACTTAATAAAAAAAGAAAATGAGAAATTTAAACAGAGTTTAGAATGAAAAGAATTTGAATGGTGGGGAAAGAAAGGGAGAAAGAAAAAGAGCAATTTTCGTCTATTTCCCATTATAATAAATGTAAAAGTATTACTTTGAGGAACTGATTTCTCTTTACTTCCAAAAGGAAGTAAAGAGAAATCATCTAGAAAATATGTTGAAAATTCAAATTGTCAATTGAATAAAAAGTATTCTGTTATTCGTCTAATTTTTACATTAAACATTATTTTCTCTGCTAAAGGCTAAAAAAATAAGAACATATACCGTGCAACAAATATCTTTATAAATTGAATTATCATAAAAATATTCAATGGAAAAATGAAAAGAAAATAAAAAGAATATTATATTCGATATTACTATCTCAAAATTTTTTCACTATTCATTTATTGTTTTTTTTTTCAAATATAATTGAAAACCGAAATTATTAGACTGTTACAGATTTGTTCCTTCGAATAAATTATTCGTCATATACAATGCACCAGCACGAAATAACGAGAAATTGAAAAAAATGAAAATTACATCTGTTTCCATTTGGATAAAATTTGTAATTTTGTTAAGTAATGAAAAATAATGAAATCAGAAGGATGCCGAATTTGTTGTTTTTTTTTTGTTAGTAAATAAAATTTAAAAAAAATGTATTGATGTTTTTTTGTTAGTAAATATAATTTCATTTTAGGAAATTGTTTATAATTAATTTTAAAATAATTGTCCATTTTATTTTACAATAATTATAAGGACGTTCGATATGAATGATAAATGTTGTTGTCATAATTTTTTGAGCAAATATTAAAATTTAAAAATTTTTTAAGGGAACAACCAACATTTGTTATAATAATTTTTCTTATCAATTACAAAATCTATACTCAAAATTAATTTTACTAGTGCTATTTAATCGATTTGTCAATTTCATTTATTGTTATTTATTAAATATCAACAAATGGAAGCGAAATTGTTTCACTCGCTGTGAATAATAGACATTTTACTTTTCTTTTCTTTTTTTGGATATAATGAATTTGCGGTAAAGATCAAAATTTTTTCATTTAAAATTTGATTTAAATAAATAAAATAAACAAAATCATATTTATAAAATACGGCATTTTTTTTCATTTTTAAATTTGGTTTAAACTAAAAAAAAGCGTATAGTTGATGACATTGAGATCATTTTATAAATGTTAAGTATTGGTGATAGTTGTCACTTTCTCGCTTAAACTCATTAATTGCATATGATGAGACATGTAAACATCAAACTTATAAAATGTGATTATTTTTAATGAATGTCGTAAAGAGTACATGGAATTTGAAATATTATCGCTCACAGTTATGCTTCAAAATTTATCATTGGCTTGTTGTTTTATCGTGTGATAAAGAAGTTGTGCAATAAATAAAAACTATATGATATATTATTTTAGTTTTCATTACTTATCATTGTTAATGATTTATCGCTTGCTTCTTTTATTCATTTTAGAGTTCTTATTTATTTATAGTTGATTTTGGACAAAAAGATTTATCGAGTGATTTTTTCTAGTTTGAATTCGAAATGAATTTTAAAAAAAAAGAATAGAAACATTATACAATATCAACAAAGCATTCAATCGTTTCATAGGAAAAAGTTTTTGTCAAACAAGCGAAAAATTTTTAATGTGGAAAAGTAAGGAAGCAGTAAAAAGAAGAAAATGTTTCATCTGATCGTGTTTAGCAACTTTCAAAAACATAAGTGAATTTATTTTTAATTATCAAAATTGTTATAGCTTCTTGTTTGAGTCTTAATTGTTATAGCTTCTTGTTTGATTCATAAAAAAATATGTTTATGATAATTTGACTGCAATATCACTGCAATATGATTATTTATGGATCGCAAATCAGAAACTACATGTGTACATACGTAATTCTTAATTTATAAGTTTTTCTTTTTTTTTGAAATGAATAGGAATGACATTGCAATGAGAGAGTTCAATATACAAAATATCATTCCTGTTATTTAAACATATTATTATACATATTTTCAATTCCATTTCAGTGCTATTATGATTCCTAAAATTGAAATTTAATCAAAAATCAGGAAAAATGTAGCAAATTTTTATTTGTTACTTGACACATTTTATATATTATGAACGAAAAATGAATGCAGTATGTATTACCAAGAATTATTGATTTCCAATTATATAGAGTTTGTACGACTCTTTGATAGTTAATTATGTGTTATGATTTATTAAGTAGCAAATCAATTTCCAGAAAGAAAAGTAAAAAAAAATGAAGATGGGGCATTGAATTTGCTTGATTGAAT